CACTCTGAAATGGGTTTTGTGGAAAGAGACATCCTCTTCTTTTCTTTGTCTCTGCTGGTGAATGCACTCCAGTGGTTGGCGGACCATCTGTGTGGTGGTTGTGGCATCTAGGTGCTTTTGCAGCGCCATGGTTATTGTGGTGACTGTGGTGGGGGTGCTGTTTTTGGCATGCTCCTTGGCACTGGCCGTATGCCTGGTTGTGGGCTGTGTTTGGTCCCCTTCTCCTTGCTTTGGGTCCCCTGGCAGGCCCCAAGGTGCTGGCATGTTGTGCCTGGTTGTGGGAGAGAGGTCCAGTCCCGTTATTCATGCCCCAGGTCCCCAGGTGGGCTCCGAGGTGCGGGCATGTTGTGCCTGGCTGTGGGAGGGTGGTCCGGTCCCCGACTCCATACCCTGGGTCCCTGTGTGGGCCCCAAAGCACTGGCTCACTGTGCCTGGTTGTGGGAGGGTGGTCTGGTCCCCCTCTCCATGCCCTGGGTCCCTGGGCAGGGCCCAAGGTGCTGGCATGGTGTGCCTGGTTGTGGGAGGGTGGTCCGATCCCTTTCTCCATGTCCCAGCTCTCCAGATGGGCTCCGAGGTGGTGGCATGTTGTGCCTCGTTGTGGAGGGGTGGTCCGGTCCCCTTCTCTATGCCCTGGGTCCCTGGGTGGGGCCCAAGGGGCTGGCATGGTGTGCCTGGTTGTGGGAGAGAGGTCCAACCCCCAAGTCCATACCCCGGGTCCCTGGGTGGGCCCCAAGGCGCTGCCACAGTGTGCCTGGTTGTGAGAGGCTAGTCTGGTCCCCTTCTCCATGTCCGGGGACCATGGGTGGGCCCCGAGGTGCTGGCTTGGTGTTGCTGGTTGTGGGAGAGAGGTCCAGTCCCCTTCTCTATGCCTCAGGTCCCTGGGTGGGCCCTGAAGCACTGGCACGCTGTGCCTGGTTGTGGGAGAGAGGACCATTCCCCTTCTCCTTGCCCCGGTTTCCTGGGTGGGCTCCGAGTAGCTGGCATGTTGTGCCTGGTTGTGGGAGAGTGGTCCAGTCCCCAACTCCATACCCCGGGTCCCTGGGTGGGCCCCAAGGCGCTGCCACAGTGTGCCTGGTTGTGAGAGGCTAGTCTGGTCCCCTTCTCCATGTCCGGGGACCATGGGTGGGCCCCGAGGTGCTGGCTTGGTGTTGCTGGTTGTGGGAGAGAGGTCCAGTCCCCAACTCCATACCCCGGGTCCCTGGGTGGTCCCCAAGGCGCTGGGTCAGTGTGCCTGGTTGTGGGAGGGTGGTCCGATCCCTTTCTCCATGTCCCAGCTCTCCAGATGGGCTCCGAGGTGGTGGCATGTTGTGCCTCGTTGTGGAGGGGTGGTCCGGTCCCCTTCTCTATGCCCTGGGTCCCTGGGTGGGGCCCAAGGGGCTGGCATGGTGTGCCTGGTTGTGGGAGAGAGGTCCAGTCCCCAACTCCATACCCCGGGTCCCTGGGTGGCCCCAAGGTGCTGGCACAGCCTACCTGGTTTTGAGAGGAGGGTCCAGTCCCCTTCTCT